TCCAGTCAGGGAGAATAACCGGGAGCATCCCAATAACCCAAACATTGCAAGAGAGCTGGCACACAAACAGTCAAGTTGGCCCAGTACTGCTACTGTTTCCAGAAGGAAGCCTTCACACAGGGAGGTGGTCGGAGAGGCAAATCCCAATTCTGGGACCTCCGGCATAGATTGGGGGGCAACTGAGTTTTGGGGCACTGCAGAAACCCCAGACAATCCCGATATGGGGCTTGGGAGTGAAGGGATGCGTTCCCTTGATAGGTCCATTGTGGGCTCGGAGGGCTCTACAGAAATGCCAAACAGTGGCAGGCTTACAGAGGGGCCTGAGAGCCTACAATTAGGCAGGTCAACCAGGTTCATGGGGGAGCAAAGGCCTAGTCTGACGAGCCCGGTGGGCAAGCAAGCAGACCAGGCAATGGGGCACAGTTCACGGGGACCACCAGGGTTTGAAAGAGGGGGCAACTCCATGTCATCCTCTGTACAAGAGGAAATAGAGGATTCTCAGAATCTAAGGAGGTCACAGAGAGTAAAAAGATCTCCCAAGTATCTTGAGGACTTTGTAACCCTGCTGGCAAAGCAGAAAAAGTGAGAGGGTGCCTGCTGTTGTGGAAAATGGAAGTATGGGCAGTGGGTATTAATCCCAGAACTATAGCCCGGTACCATTTGTGGTGTGGGTATTGCATCTCATCCGGGGGGGAAGGGGTGTTGTGTCCTGAGCCTGCAAAGGCAGGCTCGGAATGTTGCAATGGTCCCAGGCAGTTGCAGGCTGCCCGGGACCAGACTGGCTGGCGCCGGCTTCACGCGCATGCGCGAGGCGTGGAGTGTGCCTAATTGTTACCATTCTGCCCGGGGACGTTGTTAAAAAGGAGTCTGAGAGGCCTGCGAGACTCAGAGCTGTGACGGAGTGGAAAAGACTTCAATAAAGAGCTGTTGGAACCACAGGATGTTCTGTATTCATTCGCCATTGATCCGAGGACTCAACATTTAGTGGAAGGAGAACAAGTGAAACTATGTTAATTTTGTTCATTTTCTAGACATTAGTTGATGGAACTGTCACTAAGAAAATATATCTTTGACTGGTCAAAGTGAGCATATTATTTCAGAAATCTACAATATTTTGTTAGATAAGTAATCTACAGTTATGAGGATGATCTAATTATTTTAATTAAAATTATAATATGCTTTGTAGAATTATGTTTTGATTTATTTTGTTTCTTTGTTATTTCTTATGTAGTAGTTGGAAGTCCATGTTTTATGAATAAAATGTGCCACTTAAGGAAAAAAGGAATATATCTGAAGAGAGAAATTAGAAGTATATCACAAAAAACAAAAACTCTGTACAAATCCATTATTTCTGCCTCAGGAACTCAGCAAACCTCTATTCAAATAGTTGGAACAGAAGAAAGAATTGGTAACATATTTTTTTTCATTTGTTGATTTTAGACAGCTGTTTAAAAACTGTCTTTTTACTGCATTTATGGCTGAGGCCCACAAAACCATTGAAGGCAAAACCATGAATTGGTCCAATCAAATGCTGGATTTCTTTTCCTCTGGTGCAAAACAGATGTAAGGCTGAGGCTGAAGGAGGGGTCTAATGCATCAGCAGTCTTTAGTCCCTTCGCACTCAAAGATATTTAAGTCCAGCCCACTTTAAATTCTATTGACCCTTAACTACCACTAATTTGCTTTGTCTATTAGTAGTTCAGATTATTGTAAAGAGCATAAATGTGAAGTAAACCTTTATATTCATTTGAACTGCCTGAACTTCTGATTTCCTGCACTTGACAGTAGTCTATTGTCACATAAGGTGGGAAATTATAACCTGTTTATTTTGTGCAGTGCAAAGAGGTATCCTGGGACAACTAACAAATCAAGAAACACCCCCCCCCAATTCATAAATTAATATAGCTTTTATACACTTTTGGAAAACAGAGGCACATGATCATTAGCCAGCAATAGACAATAAGCAACAGAGTATTCATGCCCCTGATAGAAGATGGTCCTCCCAGAAAGTGGGTTCATTACTAAAACATTACAGCCCTCTCCCATCAGTCCATAACTTATGAGGCTGATAATTAAGTATGCAAAATTTTCTAGTTAATTTATCTGCAACAGGGGATGTTAGGGCATTTTGACTAATCTGTTTACAATAGGAAGCGGGCCCAGCCTTCTTTCCATTGCTACCCTTCTTCAGGGTGGTACATGTTCTTTCGTAAGATTATCACCTAGCTTTGCAGGAATTTTAGGGAAAGGATCTGAGGCCCAAGAATGAGAGGTCACAAAGACAGAAACATGAATGTTTTTCAACAAAATGGGGTTTCTCTGAATAAAATTATCTCTACCAGTCCTATATCATAAACTAGTCCTATTTTTACCTAGATCTTGAATGAAAAAAGCCTATGCAGTTACTCTGCAGCTTAGTGCATCCTATGAACACAAAAAATAAGATTAAATCAGTAAAGCATTATTTAATTACACATAAGAGGGCAATTTATGAAGAGGCAATTTTGTCAATTTATAATATGAATATATACAGAATTAATCATAAGTCTTAAATTACACCTATAGAGTCTTTAAATATTTCCAATAGAGAAGTTCTGTCACTGTAACTGAAAACATTATAGATTTTTTCCATTTCTTATGATAGGAGTAGACAGCAAACAAAGGTTATTGTAAATTTCCTAGTTCCTATTTGTGATCTGCAGTCTCCCCAAAGTTATCCTAGGATTAGTGAAGCTGAAATGTTCAGTCGCATGAAGGGAGAATGGGTAAATGTTTAAAATAGGTGCCATAAGCTTTTCGAAGTTACACAAATAGTGCCTATTCAATCCAGTGATCTAATGATTACTGGCATTTTCTCTGCTGCTTATATATAAGTTATAAAACTTTAGCCACCACCCCCTCCTCAAGCCAAGAAAAGTGGTGCACACTTGCCTTAATAGATTTTTTGTGCTAAGAAAAAAATGATATGCTTGAGGAAGCCCAGAGTGATATGCAACAAAAGAAAACACTACTTGGAATGGTAAGCAAAAAGAGAATATTTTTTAACATAGGTACATGTTATTTGAGTTGCCCCAGGCATTACTCTTTTTTACCTTGGATATCAATAGTATTGTTTAATTATTACACCTCAAGCTGAGAGGAGCCAATGCCGTCTTTGCCCCTAAATGTTAAATAAAATTCCACATAGATTATATACACCTATAGTGATTGTCAGTTAATAACCATTCATTCAGCACCTGTACTAGGTTGCAAAGACATCCCTACAACTCTACAATCATAATCATGACTGGTGACCTGACCTCTTGGTTTCCCACAAGCAAAGTCAGTGGGTCAGAAGTTACAGTCAGATGACAACAGTCAGATGCTTAAACAACAGTAACTGGAGACTGCCTAAACAGCACACTAAGCAGGACTGCCTCTACAACAAATATATTATGTCTGATGGCAGCTATGTGACATCACACTTTATAATCACATCACTTAGCAATGAAAATTCCAGTTCCAGCAAGCAATGTGAAGCAGTATATAAGTCTAAGTGCTATTGCTATTAAGCAAGGACTACCTCTATAAAAAATATGTCTTCAACCATTTTAAACTAGGGCCTAATTTTTAGTCTTGCTTTCATTTTTCTCAACTTCTCCTTTTTGTAATCTTACAAATCTTACTCAAAAGGTAGATGTATTTGTTCAGGAAAGTTCTTAGGGAAAACAAGAACTTTCTAACTGCCTGCACAATTCCTCTTATGCATCTGGCAGGCAGGCAGACAAAACATTAAAGCTGTAGAGAAGAAATGACAGCACAGTCTCTGCCATGGCAGCTCATCCTACTATATCCTACAAATTGACATTTATTTTTGCTAAAATTGTTAAACACTGAAAGTGCTCACTTTCCTCATAGAAGTAAAGAATGGCAGAATTCCTTTTAGATTATCTTGGCCCTTCTGAATTAAGATACCCCAGGATGACAAATAATGACAAGTCCAAGTCACTCAATAAACTCCACGGCCAAGCAAGTCCCAGTCCACATCCATGTCTCTAGTGCAATTAATTTACATTTATATTAATTCCTTGAGGGAAAAGTAGGATGAAAATAAAGCAGGCTGAAGCATTTCATCTTTGAAGGGGATATTAATGATCCGTTGCTCACAATAAATAGATATTTATTGCTTTTATTAATAAATATTATTTGCTCAAAAGTAAATGTTTTTAGCACCACACATTAACTATAGTGTTTCTCTGAAGACTAAATTAATGTCAAATGTAAAACTTTGCGAGTCCATTTTCCTTTTTTTAATGCTCAGAATTGGCCATGTGTTCTTTTTTGTTCTTCTCTGTCTGGTTTATTATATGAGAAAAAATACATGAAGCCATTTTTCTCAGAATTTATAATTTTTCTCTTTAGTTTAGAGCATTAAGCCCCTAGACCCATTTTTATAGCACCCGGAGTAGCAGTTCCATATTTGACTGAAGATCATCTCCTTTCTTCCAGTTTCTAATTCCAGAATTATCCTCTACTCTCATTCTAAGCATAATTTCTCAAGTCTAATTTTCCATACTTAAAAAACCTTTGAGTGAAATATATGCATCTGATTGAGAAAACTCAGAAAAATATTGTGTTCTCTACTTCCTTCTCTTATTATAGGTTCTATATCCCAGAGTCGTCAAATGTCTATGCATTTAATACATAGATTGTTCATTGTGGAAAGAAAAAAGTATTCTTAACTTCTGTTCCGTACAACAAAAATATATTAATACTTTTCTAGTAATTTATTTTAATGGAAAAAACAAAACCTTTCACTGGAGTAAGCTAATATGAAGTAATTCACCAAATTCTTTTTATTCACCTCACAGAAATTAGCCTTTATGGGATATTATTTGCATTATTTTAATTAAATTGTATATAATTTTGTATCTCATGTGATTTTTCCTACTTTAGTTCCAATATATGTTGTTATTGATTCAAAAAAAATTATTCTAAACTGTTTAACTGAAAAACTATTAATGCAAAGAATCATTGATCCAAAATATCAATGGACTGGTCCTGTAGGACGAATAACTCAAGGTAATTATTGATTCATTTGTAAACAAAATTAGAAATACTGCTCTTAATTTTTTTGTGTAGGGTGAGCAACCAGATATTTTGGGCCAATTCCAATTTTATGTTTTTTTCCATCTTCACATTGTGTCATTAAACTTGGTAGCATAGGACTGTTTTTGGTAAACATTCTCCTTTTGGGGAATAAAAGAAGGGGCAACCCTCAAATTTCAAGCCTGAAATAGTAAAACAAAATATATTATTTCCACTCTAGGAACATAATTGCACTAATAAAAAAAGCTCTGCAATTCTTGCAGGTGATTTTTTTTAGAAAAATTCTTAAATAAAGTAGAATTTTTGGCCACAAAATGATTCCCTGCCCCGGCTATAAAGTAATCCACACTGAATCAGGTGATTTGCTTCTATATAATTTTAACATGGTGGCAAATTAAATAATGTGAGATATACCTTTTTTGCAGATATGATAGGCTCATATAATTTTATGATTCTTCAAAAAAAGTTGTTATTATATCTTCATTTCCATAATAATGGCTCTGCTGCATGTTTCTTTAAAAGTAGTAATATGCTAGGCTATGCTACGCAATTAACAATATAAAAATTTTGTGGGTTTCATGTAAGCAAAATGAATTCAGCAAAAATCAGTTTTTCACTGATATTGATGATAGTGTATTGGAGAATGATTATTATTAAATTGTTTCATTTGCAATTTGCATTTTTGAAGTAAGAAAAAAGACATAAATTTATGATAAATAAATTATTGGAGAATAAGAACTAGTTTGATACAATTATTTTGCAACAGAATTGGAACCATTAAAACATTTTATTTTATGAATTTGTCTTCTAATTTTGATTTAGGTGTTTGTTGATTTTTTTCCCCCAGTTATTAGATAGAACTTCCAGACAGAATTCCAATCCCACTAAGAATAATGATAATGCCCATTATCCTCAAGCAGATTATGTCATAATTGGTGCCTTGAGAGTACATTCTTTTATTATTTCTTTCCTTGTCTGGGTAATACAGTAACATAAATAATGATATCATTCCCAAATAGTTTATTTCGCTTTCTTGCCACTAGACAGTCTTAGTAGTGAAAATTTCAGTTCACTTACCCACTTCCCAGGTTCCTGCCACTGTGACATTCTAGCAGGAATACAGTGAGCCCAAATGCAGTGTACCTGGCACACTAGTAAAAATAATTTGAGAAGCAACAGAAAAATTTCATCTGTGTTAACATTTAAACTCAGGGAATATAATTTTGAACAGTATTATTAAATTAGTAGATAGGTGACATACTGAATAAATAACAAATACTAATATTTAATTTTTGTTCTGAACAAAAGTGAGGTGAATGGATTTTATGCTATGAATATTTATTTCACCTTTAAATAACTATTTGGCCAAAGTACCTTTTATTTAAAATGTTGTTAAATTCATACTACAAATTAATTCTGTTATTATTATGGGTAAATAGAGAAGCATTTCAACAAAATCTATTATGCCAACACAACTTCAGGTTATGATAATTTACAAAAATTACAATAATTTAGTTAATTTGTCATTACAAAATCTAAACAGGATAGTTTATAAAAGGATGGAATTGTAAATATAATGGCCAAAGGGGAAAAAAAAAAGAATAAACAGTGAAATAATCTCCCTTCCGGCGTGATAATGTTGAAAGAAAAATCTTCATCAGGATCCAATTCAATCTGGGAATAAACAGAATAGAGACTGTTTTAGAAAGAAGGTTATAATTTATTGAAGAGCAGAACCACACAGAAATATGACTCTGGAGCAGCTGACCATATGGTGCTGGGAGTGGTGGGTTTTTATACCTTCTTGGGCTTTTGTGTTTGGAATTATTCTTGTTGCTGTGGCATGAGCTTTGAGCTGAGGTTTAATGTGCCCTTCTAGTATTCTAATAGTGGTGGGTTAATCCTATTATGACCTAAACAACATGCAATATAAAGACTGCAAGAACCACTATGTAAGACAAACAGGCAGAACACTGGCAGAACACATCCATGAACATCAACTAATAGTCAGAAGACATAATGAAAACTCTATTTTCACAACATATAGACAGACTTAACAATGGTTGCAATTGCAAAAATGTGACCATCCTAGACTAAGCCAAGTCCCAAAATGCCAGGGAATTTCTAGAAGCCTGGCACTGACAAATTAGCCTTCAATAAATATGTAAACATTAACAACATCTATATGCAAAAGAGATAAGCAACCAACCAAAAGTAAGGAAGGGAGGTCTGCTGTAGATAATGATATTTTTTCAGGTTTTTTCACACATTTTGATGGCTCATTTGTTAAGCTACTTTTCAGAGTAGCTTCTTTTTTCTGCCCTGATCTCACTTGTTAATACATTCCTGACTTCATTGTACAACATTTTACCTCCTTTCCTCTAAGCTTCCTTTTTGGCATAATGTAACTATTTGAGTTTAGCTGTGAACCAAGGTTATTGTTACTGTATATGAACAAACTTTTGATTGGGCCACATAAGTCCTCACAAAAACTAACATATGATGTCACGGTATCAATGAGTTCATCTAAGTCTGCTGAGGCAGCTTCAAAAACACTCCAGTCTGTGCAGTTGAGGCTTTAACTTCGCCTCCTCAGTCCAAGTCTTCACTGTTTTAACCATAGGTCTTACAGTTTTAAGTCTCTGTCTATAAACAGGTATAAGGTGAATCATAGAATGATCAGCATGGCCCATAGCTGCTCTTACTGTGTTTCCCCAAAAATAAAACCTGGTCTTTTTTTTTTTTTTTTTTTTGCCTCCAAAAGAGGCACCAGGTCTTATTTTCAGCTGTGTGTGTTTGTGTTTTTTCCACTCACCTCGCCATGGTGGCACCACCAGCCCTGCCTAGCCAGCCCACTTCTTCTATGACCGAAGGAGCAGCTTCCTTCTACAGCTGAGAATTTCACAATCATAGGCTTTTCTGAATCCATAGCTCGGTTCTTGGATGCAGAGGCCTTCTGGAAAGATCTCTGACTGCGAAATGCAGGCTGGAGTTCCATTCTCAGCTGCAGAATGAAGCTGCATGGCGCAGCAGTTAGGGTGCAGTACTGCAGGCCACTTTAGCTGACTGTGTTCAGCAGGTCAGCAGTTCAAATCTCACTGGCTCAAGGTTGACTCAGCCTTCCATCCTTCCGGGGTAGGTAAAATGAAGACCCAGATTGTTGGGGGCAATGTAAATGTAAATATATATATATATATATATATATATATATATACATTGCTTACTGGTGTACACCGCTTAGAGAGTGCTTGCACTTAAAAGCGGTATATAAGTCTCATAAATAAATAAATAAATAAATAAATAAGCTGCTCCTTCAGCTGCAGAAGTGGGCTGGCAAGGCAAGTGTCAATCCATGGGAGGCCAGGATGAAATGGTAAGCTCCATTCCCCCACCCCCACCCTAGCTTGATTGCCCCAAAACTAGGGTTTATTTTGGGGTAAGACTTATATTAGGCCCACCCCCAAAAATCAAGCTAGGGCTTATTTTCAGGGTAGGTCTTACTTTTGGGGAAACACAGTAGTAGAGAGCGATAAACATTTTTTAATGTTGAGTAGCAGTGGTCTAACACAGGGTTTTCAACCTTTTTACTAACTGTACCACTTTTAGGATATGGCAATATTCAGGTAGCACCCAGCAAGGTGCCAAAAACTTGATGACCAAAAAATAAAAACAAACCCCGTTCAAAGTTGCAATTGCACTGAAATGACTTATGACCATTTTTCACACTTATGACTATTGCAGCATGCCCAGCATGTGATTTATATTTGGATGCTTGGCAACTGATTCATATTTATGATGGTCACAGTGTCCCAGGGTCATGTGATCCCCTTTTGTAATCTTTTGACAAGCAAAGTCAATGGCAGGGATGCTGGTGGCCAAGTGCTAAGGCGGGACTTCCTTCCCTCCCACCCTGCCTCCCTCCCACCCTGCCTCCCTCTTTCTCACTCCCATCTCCTTCTGAAGGAAGAATTTGAACCCCCTTCCCGTATTTTCCCTCTTCCATATATTCCTCAAACAAGGAAAAGCCTCAGAGACAGAAAAGACAAGCTGCTGAGTGAACTAGCATTCCCCTTTAAGAATTAGCTACTGGCTAGAAAGGAAAGTTAAGGAGCTGGCAGCTTGCATTTAAGGAAGAAAAAAAATGTAATAAGTACTGGCTGCCAGCTAAGGCAGCCTCCCCAAATGGCTCTATTCATAGTAAAGGAATGCTATAGGCAAAATCCATTCAGGAGAAAAATACTTCAAAACCTACAGCTAACAATAGCAGAGCAATAGAAGCTAACACGAGAATCAACCATCAGTCAAATAGAAATTGCCAAACATTCCTTAAGAACACAAAGCCCACATTGCACAAATCACAAAAGCACATAAGAATCCTTCCACTCTCCATCTCCCTTCCTCCATGCCTCACCTCCTGATGCTGCCTTTCTTCGTTGCTGCTCTTTTTCATTCCTCGTGGAGGGCGACCCCTCCCCTGCTGCATTTCTTGCCTGTTTGCTGCTGCCAGCACAGGTAGCTGCCACAGCAGTTGTAGATCTGCTCATGGTTAGCCTGCTTGATCTCATCTCCTCTCCCTCCACCCTCCTCCCCCTTCTTCTTTCCCTTCTGTGAAGCTAGAGCTGACTTCACCTCCTCCCAAGGCTGCTGCTTTTTTTCTCTCTCCATCTCCCACCCAAACTGCTTCCTTTTATAGCCTCTCCTATCTCCACTTCCTTCCTCCTCCTTTCTCTTCCGGGTGAGCCGGAAGTGAGTCTGGGGCCTTTGCTTCGCCCCAGCCACTTTGTAGCTCCAGAGGACTCTCTCACAATAAGTCCTTGCCTGGGCAGGGCTGCGTATCACCTGCTACAGGCTAATGTACCACAGGTGGTACGCATACCACTGGTTGAAAAGCCCTGGTCTAACATATTCTCGCCTCTAGTGAGACAACTGATATGCTGAGTGTATCTTGACAGCTCTTGGCTTAGGTTAGCTCTGTTAAAACTCCTAAGACAATGAATAAGGATTCTGAATATCACTGAATATTCAGTCTACAGGATTTGGATACATGATTCTCAAGCTCTGGTCCATAGGATCCTAAGGAGAAAACTGCCCATGATTTTCTTAAAAATCACCCATAGATGAAAAACCCACAGCTTGTTTAGATATACAGTTTCCTTATATATTTTACTACTAGAAAGTTTAAGCACCATCTAGGTATTTGTACTTTACACCCATGTGAAATTTTGTCAAGGCTCTGTGGCAAATTGAGACAAATTATATCTATAGTATTCCCAGGTCAAATCTCATTAAAGGTTGAGACAAGTCACATGACTCATCTTTTGAAAGGACTGGTATGACAGAACTCTTAAGCAACTGCAGCATTATTTTCAATATACTTACAGCCTGTGTTATTATCTACTCTAACATCTTTCCAGGTATTAATATTAGTTTCACTGATCAGTAATTACTGAAATCCTTTTTTCTTTCTGTCTTAAGAGAAAGAATACATTTGCTTCTCCAACACCATGTTATTTGCTAAGAAAACATAGGACTGCAGTTATGATAAATATATATTGATTGCTAACTCAGAAGAATGGTAGAATTGAATCAATAACCACAAAAGCGAGCATGAAGTACATACTTTGAAGAGGTCAAGGCCACACTGAGTAGCAGCAAATGGTTGAGATTAGAATTTTCTATGTTTCTCTAGGTGGAATTTGTAGTCCTGTGTTTGTTTAAAATAATATTATCTCTTTTTTAGAACATATATTGCAGTGGGCTTCTCAAATGGGATTATCTCTATATTTGGGGTTTATATTGGGTACTTCCTGCCTCAAAATGACAGAAATTATACCAACAATTAGGGTCACAATTTTCTACCATTCTGTTTAGGGAATAACTTGAACATTTGGTGACTCGGATCACAGTGACCTAGGACTACATACTACTCATACTTTTCTTATGTAGTTTTGTACATTTTCTTTTTTGCTTGTTTATACATTACTGTGTGGTTTATCAAGGCCTGTATGAAAATAGATGGTCAGGGTAAAAAATCCTGTCCTATTGCTAAATAACAGATGTCTAGAATTTAAGATTAATTATTGTCTGTGATAATTTAATGTCACATTTTTATATTTGAATTATTTTTATTTATAGAATCTCAAAGATTAGTTTTAAATAGTGATGGTAGCTTGGAGATTTATAAAATTAAAGGCAGTGATGCTGGGAGTTATACTTGCAAAGCAAATTATATGTACAATAATGAACAGCTGACTACAGAAATCCATTTTATGGTCTATGGTAAGTAAAGATTAGTAATCTTCTTTTCTAACTGTGATATTAACTTATAAACTATACAGATACTCAGATGCAAGTAAAACAGTATAAAGTAATAAATTACATTTATTTATAAATTACATTTATAATGTTAGAGCTTAGGTCTATTATAACTAAATATAGGGAGATTTATGAACAATGCTTCTTTACACAATAATTAAAATTTATGAATCAGAAGTTGTGATGTTCATCAGCTGAAAAGGTAAACCAATTCATGAAGGACCAGACTGTCAAAAACTAGGAAGCCCTTTCATTCTACTTGCAAGAGTTTTAAATCCCAAAGATGCTTTTTCACAAGGCAACTGGACTTTCTTGTTTTTCTTTGGAGATGTTTTGCTTCTCATCTAAGAAGCTTCTTCAGCTCTGATGAGAAGCGAAACATCTTCAAAGAAAAACAAGAAAGTCCAGTTCCCTCGTGAAAAAGCATCTTTGGGACACTATGACCTGGATGACTGAAAATCTCCATAGACAAGAGTTTTAAATGCTTCTGTTAAATAATAACTATCTGCCCATAAAACCCAATAGATTATCTAGTAGCATCTGAAGAATACTAGCTGAAAGTGAGTGGCAAGATACCTCTTTGGAGTCAATTAGAGCTACTAGAGAGTTAGGAAGTTTCTCCTTAATTGCAAGTTGCTTCTCTCTTTGATCAGTTTCCAACCATTATTTCTTGTCTTGCCCACTGGTGCTTTGGAGAATAGTTTCATGCCTTCTTCTATGTGGCAGCCCCTCAAATACTGGAATACTGCTATCATGTTGCCCCTATTTCTTCTTTTCTTTAGACTAGCCAAACCCAAATCCTGCAGCCATTTTTCATATGTTTTAGTCTCCAGGGCTTTGATCATTTTAGTTGCTCCTCTTAGAACTTTTCCCAAATACTCAACATCCTTTTTGTAGTATGGTGACCAAAATTGGTTGCAGTATTCCAGGTGTGGTCTTACTAGATTTTATAAAGCAGTACTAATATTTCATGTGATCTTGATTCTATGCCTCTGTTTATACAACCCAGGATTGTATTAGCTTTTTTGGCTGCTGCTACATACTACTGGCTCATAGTCAAGTGATCGTCCACTAGGACTCCAAGGTCCCTCTCACAGTTGCTGTTTTTGAGCCAGGTCTCGCTTAATCTATACTTAAACTTTTGCTTTTTCCTGCCTAAATGTAAAGCTTTGCTTTTCTCCACATTAAAACTCATTTTGTTGGATAGGACCCATTGTTCAAGTTTGTCAACATCTTTTTGGATCCTGAGCTTGTCTTCTGGAGTGTTGGCTATTCCTGCCAGTTTTGTGTCATCAGCAAATTTGATGAGTTCCCCTTCTTTTCCCTCATCTAAGTCATTAATGAAGATATTAAAAAGTACCAGGCCTAAGACAGAGCCTTGTGGTACTCCACTGCTTACTTCTCTCCATGTGAATGTAGTACCATGAGGACTATTCGCTGTGTATGGTTTGTCAGCCAGCTACAGATCCATCTGATGGTGTTTTTGTCTATCCCACCTTTTTCTAGCTTACTAAACAGCAGGTTGTGGTCTACTTTGTCAAATGCCTTACTGAAGTCTAAATATACTATGTCCACAGCGTTTCGCTGGTCTACTAATTTGGTTACTTTATCAAACAATTAAATAAGATTGGTTTGGCATGATTTGTTTTTTACAAACCCATGCTGGCTACTGGTTATAACTTTGTTTGCTTCTAGTTGTTTGCAGATCTGTTCTTTGATTATCTTTTCTAGCATCTTCCCAGGTATTGATATTAAACTGATTGGTCTGTAGTTTCCTGGGTCTATTTTTTTCCCTTTCTTGAAGATGGGAACCACATAAGCCCTTTTCCAATCATCAGGTACTTCCCCGGTGCTCCAGGAGTTTTGAAAGATATGGTACAATGGTTCTGAGATAACATCTCAGAACTCTGGGATATAATCTGTCAGGTCCCAGTGATTTATATTCATCAAGATTGGATAGGTGTTCTCTTACCATTTTCTTGCTTATTTTAATTTTTTTAATAACCATATTTTATTAATTTTTTATAATCACAAATCCTTAATATTTTATCAGCAACATGTTGTTTGGTTTCCAATGTTTAGCTTACCAATACATGTTAAACTCCTTTCTCTCTACTTCATTTTTCTAGCCATTGATAAAATGTATCCCATATTCTAAAGTATTCTGAATTTTCTTTCTCCTTCATTTTCAATGTAAGTCTGTCCATTTCTGCACAGTTCAAAATTTTCCTGATTATCTCTTCTTCTGTTGGTAATTCTTCATCTTTCTAATTGAGCAAATACAATTCTTGCTGCCATGAATACATGTAACATTAAATATACACATTCTTTCTCACAATTTCCTGCAATTATACCTAACAGAAATAATTCTGGCTTAAAATCTATGTGTTTTTTCGTCATTTTCTCTAACTATATATATGTATTCTTGACCAAAATCTTTTAACCTTAGGACACATCCACCAAAGATGATAATATATGCCTGGTTTTTGTCTACATTCCAACAATTGCTGGACATATTTTTAAACATTTTTGCTAACCTCACAGGTGTTAAGTGCCATTTGTAAAACATTTTATATAAGTTTTCCTTGTAAGCCACCTCTTTGTTATTTTAGAATTTGTTTCCCAAAGTTTTTGCCAGTTTTCTGGCTTTTCAACTGGTGGTTTGCATACCACCTGTGGTACATTAGCACAGTGGTTCTTAACCTTTTAGAATGAATCGCCCCCTTGAGCCAATGAGGAAGTTGTCATCACCCCCTCCCCCAACATAACCTCTCAATCACAACATAGGAAATAATTCTTCAATTTATGCAAACACTTTTTTTGTTTTCTTTACAATTATCATCAGGACATATTGATGCAAATAATTTATTTCCAGTCTTTTTCCCATATCTCAACTGTGTGAAAAATTTTGGTGCCACCCGTCACTTTATTCCCAAACTTTGTGATACATGTATTTCATTATTATCTTATTTATTCAAAACACTTAAATGTAATGACCACTGAAAACAAAATTCAATTGCAAGAAAGTGAAATACCCAAAAAGAAAAACAGTAACATTTAATAATTGAGTTATAAGTGAAATTTAAGATGCAAAAAGAAATATAAAAGGGGCATAAGAACAAACCGCAATGCTGGAACTAAGAATTTCAAGATGTAAACTCTGAAACTAAATTAAGATTCGAGGAAAGTATATATAGTCACACACACTGTAAAAAGGATTTAAAAGACACAAAGAAAATATAATATCGAACTGGAATGCACACTAAAAAAGTACAATACAAAGAGACACACAAAATGTTTTACAGAGCACAACAAAAATTCAAAAACGAAGCAAATACAGCAATAAAAGCTGAGACAATTATTAATGAAAAATGTATGTACACAAAAAGCAAAAAAAAAGAACATCAATGTCTGCCTTGTGCTTGGTGAGCTGATGTCAATTTCTTGATGTCTGGAACCATTTTTGTTAATCGCATTCTTAAATCATTGCACTCAGAGATCTTCAAATGTTCCTTGACTTAGAAAGGATCTGTTGGACAGCGCTGGAGCCTCTCTCCACTAAGTAACTTAACTTCCTCCCACAATATTGGGTAAGTGTTCCTCATTTTCACCCAGAGTTCATAGCCTTAACTCTGAAAATGTGACTGGACTTCACAGTCGTATTTCAAATCTGTCAGTGGCTTTTGCAGTTTGGAATAAAGTTGTGCAAAGTCTGCTGTGAAAGGATTTAGCACCCAAGTGGGCACTTCCAGATTTATCAGATCATAGAATCTGGTTTCCATATATTCTTTTAGTTGCTTCAAGTGGCAGCAAAAAACGTCCAAATCTTCTCCTTGGAGTTCACATTCATTACCAAGGCTTGGGAACTGATACAGCTCCTGGCGACTCATATTGCTTGCAAGGAGGTCCAATTTGGAATTAATGAGGAGATTACTCCCTTGGCCTTAAGAAAATTGATTTTATCTCCTTGCAGGTTTACATTCACTTCATTCAGCTTGTCAAAAATGTCAGCGAGATAAGCTACATCCAGACGTTGAAGTTTAAGAGAACTGCTTAGACTTGGGTCAGTGGATTCAAGAAATTCAACAACTGTATCAAAAAGTTCATGGAATCACCGCAAACACTTTCCTTTTGAAAGCCACCTTACTTCGGTGTGCAAAAGGAGATGTTCAAACTCCGCGTCATTTTCCTCACAAAGCTTGTGAAAAAGTCGGTTGTTCAAGGCATTTGACTTAATTTTATTCACAGTATTAATGATGTAACATAGAGACTCATGCAAACAGCCACTCAAATTTTTTGAGACAACATGCTGTCTATGAACGACGCAATGGACAGTCATAACTCCAGGTACAACTGATTTTAGATGAGCTTGAAATCCGCAATATCATCCAACCATGGATGCAGCTCCGTCAGTTGCACATGCCACGACGTTTGTCAAAGGGATGTTTTTCTCATTAAAAAACTCTTAAACCTTTTTAAATATCAAAGAACCTTTTGTGTCGATAGCTAAATTTTGAACAAATAACAGTTCTTCCCCGATCACTTCATTTCCGTTGATGAAATGGACATAAGCCAATAACAAGGCTTCATTTTCACGAATCGTTGACTCGTCAATCTGCATCACAAATTCTGTATTTTTCAAGTTGTCAATAAGCCTTTCTTCCACATCAGCAGCCATTTCATCAATTCTTTTTGATACAGTATCATTGCTCAAAGGAATCGATTGCGTAATAGTGCTTGTGCTGGGCCTCAGCATGGTGGCAACAATCTGTTTCACTGCTGGTAAAATTAGCATTTTTCCAATAATGTGAGGTTTGCCACATTTTGCTATCAATAAAGATACTTCATAGGAACAAATGAGCCCCTTGTCGGCATTGAGTGATGATTTTCCAAATAACTTCCCAACAGTACTGCAATCCTCAAACTTGGCCTTTAAGAACTGGAAAAATGATGCCGGTTTGTTG